AACATTACTTCAACAGAGCTACATATGCATATGATTAAATGTCAAATGGAGTTTGGCTTAATTTCTCACGAACAAAATTCGAATCCTTATGTCATCCAAGTGAAACTTTTCAATTATCGGATAGAATAATTTATCATATATCCGCTTATCGTGTTATTCATGAAGTGAAAGATACTGTTTCGTCTCAATTTCATCAAATACATTAAATCAGACATTTAAAATCAGAAAAAAATATGGGTTTATTATAAAAAATTTACTTTAAAAACAATCTGACGTACAAGAACCTCATATTGTGAGCCATCATCTAGGAGTCATTGCACGAAAGCGGCGACCTAGCGTGCTCAATTCTTTTTTAAAATTTAATTCTGATTTCGCCAGTTTGTAGCCCTACTAAAGTTGAGTATATTCTGAAATTTGTAGCCTTTAGCGATGTTTCATTGATCGGGAATAAATTTTTTATCTCGACACATCATTCTATTCCACACGTTGTATGACTTTTTGTATGGTAGACAAAGTAACATGTCGTTCGGTGAGGTCAATAATTAATGAAATACCGCGTCTTTTTGAATATTGAGTTTGCAATGAAAATACCTGCAACCAGATAAACGAATGTTAAATTAATAAATTTTCTTACAGAAGGTACCAGAACTCAAAATCCTTTATTATTAGATTCTTTTCTTTTATTCGATTTAACTTTTCATTCTTATGCGTGACGCTTCTCAAACGAGATACAAATTCGTTCTAATTAGCTTTGTTAGATCAAACAACATCAGAGAGGACATAAAAGCTGCAAATATTTATCCAGTTTTGATTATCCAGATTCAATTAGAACACAAATGAGATTTGATGACGAGAAAATTTTATTGAGTCTAGACTAAGAATGCCATTAGGTATAGATAATTGTGATATCATTTATGTTAATGATACAGTATCTGATATGAATGATGTCAAAATATTCTTGTAAAGTATAACGAAAATTGTCTTTAGTACAATACAACGTCGAATATGATAGTCTAATACACGTTTAACAAATCTCTTTCGATATTCTCAACTCCTTCTCCGTTTCATTCATTTCAACTCTTCATTCTGAACTTTATTTGTATGAACAGGTTCGTCTCCTATTACTTCATTGATCTGAAATGGTGTTACACACCAAGAATTTGGATGGATTATCCAAAGTGTTTTTGTACCACAATACCTCTAGTGCTTTGACTACTGTTTATTACTTCAGAAATGATACATATCTGTTGTTGTTTTTTACCACATATATATTTTTGGAACCGTTTTGGCAAAAATGTAGACACTAATAGAATTTATCTAACACATAATTTCAAATTTCTGTCTCAAAGTTTGCAGCTAATTGATTGTGTACATTAAAAGCAAAATCGGTTGAGACAATCAGTAAAGTTACAGAGTGCCTTGGGATAATTATGATCAGGTCCTCAAAATTTCATCGTATTTCTACTATAGTTTGCTCAATTTTTATCCAGGACAAGCGATATTTTACAGGTAAATAGTGGTGACTCCTGGCTATCGACTGATGTAAAATTTTTCTTGAAATTCATTAGCGTTAATTAGTACTAATCAATTTCCAGAGAACACCTTTCGAGTGACCATAATTACCTCATTTAGTAATTAGGGGTAACATCAAAAATGTGCTAAAATTGCTAATGTGCTAAAAATAAAATGTGCTAACAAAAGTGTGCTAAAATTGGCAAACCTCATCAAACGGCTACAAATCGCTGGAACCAGGCGACTTTTTTTCGAAAAGCACACATTCTCTTTCGAATTAATTAATTAATTAACGGTAAGTCCAAATAGGATGCAATTCGTACAGGTGATAACGCTTGAAATTCTCTACAAGATGATATAATTTTCAATTATTTTCCTTGAAATCCCATGTTGAAACTAAGCTGTTTAAGATTATCACAGCCATTTTTGTTGTGTATTGACCATAATTACCCCAACGGTACACGTTGACCGACCATAACTACGCCAAATGGGGTAAGTATGGTCACTCGAAAGGTGTTCTCTGGAAATTTATTAGTACTAATTAACGCTAATGAGTTTTAAGAAAATTTTTACATCAGTGGATAGCCAGGAATCACCACTATTTAGCGGTAAAATATCGCTTGTCCTGGATAAAAATTGAACGAACTATAGCAGAAATACGATGAAATTTTGAGGACCTGATCATAATTACGCCAAGGCACTCTGCTCAATTTCGTTTCGTAAAAGTAGGAATAATCACGACGTAGACTGTCTTGTGTTCGTTCGAGAAGGAGTTGAGCGCGTTTCAGGAGGACATTTTTTTTGTATACATTCTGAGTGAATGCTTTTCTGGACACTTTTTTGTGTACGGTTTAGAGTGAACGATTATTCTGATATGCTTTTTTTGCTAACGGATTTTAGTGAACGGAAAACTGGATGTTTTGTTTTGCCGTATAGGTCTGGAAGGTCACTCATTTGTTTACTGACTTTATTTTAGTTGTCTCAGTGTGAGCGCATTAAAACTCAAGAGTCATTCTTGAAATTTCAAGTTCATTTTAATTCCGTTATTTAAATATTCTTTTTTAATTTCATTCATGATGTTAAACATAAATTCTTACTGTGGTATTGAATAAATTTATGTTTATTTCTTAAAATTAGAAGAGCGATGAAATAAATGAAATGTTGAAAATGAATGAAATAGACAAAATGTATCTGAGATCCGTCTTATACAATGTTAAATAAAATCTTGATTTATCTTACATTCCTACTCTATCTTATACCTTACACCAATGTCTAATATGATCATATTTATGAATCGTATTTAATTCAAGCGGGCATCATTATATCCATTATGAATGACTATTCGTATTACTAATATATAGTTTTAAAATGGTCCGTTATAAATCGATAACAAAAATATAATATAATAAATGAAACTAAAAATATTATTCAAAAATTATACCAATCCGAATATTCATTGGTCCAACGACGATATAATCAAAGCAAACATTTTGGGTTTATATACAATTTTAGCTGTTATATAAACTTTGTCTCATAATAGAAGACCATCTCTCGTTAGAAGATCAGTATAGATTTTTTTATGCGAACGCGAGGAATGGTACGTTATAAGAAGTTATGTAAAGGAAATTTGTATAATACATGTTGCTTTCTGATTATTCCCACTGGTGTTTTTTTTAAATATGTAAAATAGTATGACCGACCACTATGGTCAGTCACGTTACTTTCAAATATTTCTACGAAATCTATTTACTTAGTTTAGATTAAATTGTAACGAATTGAAGAAAAAAAAAACACGCTCGTTAATCAGTCGTTTGACCATTATTTCATGAATATATCACTCAATAACAATCGATACATTCTTTAAGACCAAGAAAGAGAAAGACTGATTATGTTAATGATAAGATATTCACTTGAGTCTTAACGTTAAGTATGTTAAATTCCATTCTATATATATATCCCATCTATTTTTATTAGATTGGCAATTCTAACATTTTTATTTTATTTTACTATTGTCATAACATATTTCGTAAAAAAAATAGTCTTTACTGTTTGTATTTACTGTATAATTAAATACCACGTGGTATGTTTCGTGTCAGCTTGTATCATTACATTACTGTAGATATTCTAATCGATAATAATAACAACAACAACTTTTCTACATCAATATTCGTTAGTGTAAGGCATTTTTTGAATTTTTACTGTTTTCTAGAATTTTTTATCCACCAGAATACGTATTTAGAGATACCGAATTGTTCAGAGAAGATCTATATTAAATATTTCTAATAAACGAAGATGTTCATATATTCAGTTTTCTCCCTTTTTTTCTGCGTATAGAAAGACAACTCATAATCAATTATTTTCCTTCACAAAAAAAAAATCAAACGAGAGAAGAAAGCAAAAAAAAATGACACATAAAACACGCACGAGACATACACACAACAGCAACAATAACAAAGATCAAAAAGGAAAATTCGTTCATAAAAAGACAGAGGATTGATAATATATGTTACAGCATACAGGAAAAAGAGACATACACAAAAATACTGAAATAAATTTAAAAATTGCTAACCTAACACCACATAACAATTTAGGCGCAAAGTCATGAAATAAGATAAAGAATTTGGACAAAACAACTGTAAAAAAGAAATGAATAATGAATGTTTATTTTGGATGAAATAGTTGAAAAGTTCCACTATCTAAGCATCACAGCTTGAAAATATCATTCGGTTTTTATTTCTAATGGGAAAAAGAATAAAGCGATACTATACTTTTAGTCAATCGAACAATCATATCTGTAACAGTTGTTCTAGTACTACCCATTTATGCAAACAAAATCAGTAATGGCAAATAACCGGTTGACTTTTAGCATGCAAGAATAGTAACAAGAAGCACAGGTTTAAGATTTCATGTTCAAACTTCATTTATCTCTAAGATTATTTGGCTAAAGACAACGCTAAATATTTTTTGAATAGACTTGCATAGGCCTTATCCAGATAAGATTTAATAATAAGTATTGTCTTATTCTCATTCTATAAATTTTATATTACTATTTTAGATGCGAGTACTCGAAAACAGAAAAAAATAGCAATTTTTGAGCTGAAAGCATAAAGAAACAGATTACTGAGCAGAATTTACAGACAATTATGTTTTATTTTCCTAAGCAGCATTAAACTACCTGGAATGATTAAAAATATTCTGTTTTCGAAACATCCGATTCGATATCGTTTATTTTCTCAGGTTGTTCGATTAGTTCAAGAACATCCGTCATTTTCATGTGTATAATTAAAACGAATCTTCAAATGTTTCTGACTCCCGAAACGCAATCAACAAAAAAAAACAAAAAAAAAAACACGTTTGTATATGAAAAAGTAACCATCAAAATAAATTAGGAATAAAAGAGAGAGAATTTCTTTTTCTTGATCTGAAGATGAAAAACAGATAGCGCGACCTGCACGACTTAAAGGAGTAAAAGAGATATACGTTAGATTTTAAACAATCTGTAACTGTTGTGATTGTAATTTAGAATCGTCTATGGTAGTACAAGTAGAATTAGTTGACAAAGATGAAGTCGATAATGATATTAAAGAAGAATCAGATGACTGCTGATTCGGTACTGAAGTTAATGTTTTGAGTTCTTCGGCACGAGTACCCGGGCCCAATCTGTACTCGGTTCCACGCCAGATTATTGTCGATGGGCCGGTAAATGCTTTAAAGTAGATGTAAAATGCTGCTATCTCACGGACCATCCAAGCAATAGCAAATTCAAATTTGGAAAATGGTAATGGACCACCCTAAAAATAAAAAAATATGATTACTTTTTTTGAATTAAACAAAATTATTTCTTTATCTAAGAAAATAAAGGATTGATCATAACTAATAGTTGAAAATATAGTTTAATAACTAAAATTCATTAAGTAATTTAAACAAATATATAGAACTTTAAAAACTTTTATACATAAATATTCAAGATACGAATCACAATAGTAAAATAATAGATTAAACACGTTTATTCATCGTTGCAATGCTATTGTGAAGTAAGACATCAAAGATTTTTGAATTTTCTTAGTAATGTTGCAACTTTAGTAAAAATATTAATTATATCATACCTGTGTAATTCTTAACATTAAGTAGTCTAATATAAACCAAATAAGTATATGGCATGCTGTCACAACAAGAGAATTCCATTCAAATAAATAATTGGTCACTATTCCAGCAAGTAATGCGGATGATAAACATTCTTGAAATGGTTCCAAATAGGCTAAGGGAGACAGTCTCATTCGTAGTTTACACCAACGAATCATTCGATCCATCCATGTTCCAACACTATATTCACCGCCATTCTGGAGAGCGGGCGCTGGTGATACTCGAATTTTCCAACCTCTAAAAGCCGAAAGATAATTCTCATTCTTATTATCCACAAATCGTAGCTAAGTTTGAAAAAAAAAAACTCTTTTACGGACAATAAAATGATAAACATTCACTATAAATTTAGAGATTAGCATTCTTATTCTTGAGAAAACTACAACTGGTAAATTACTAGATTATATTTTTGATCAATGTTTGAAAGGTCACAATGGACCACTTATCTTTTATTTGGACAGATATTGACCTTGAAAAAAATAATTACTTTAGAAAAGCTTCGAGAAAATAAGAAGTAAATATTGATCAAAATAAAAGGCTTTAGAAATTAAAAAGACGTCGAATTACTATAGTCTAATGTGAAAAATAAAAACAAACTTACTGTTTTGCTACTTCAGATGCTAAATAAAAATCTTCGGCAATATAATCTCCAAATGCTCTTAATCCTCCTACTCTATCAATAGCATCTTTTCGAATCAAACATGACATTCCCGTTACACAATTGATACCAATTAAATTGATTGTCATATACATTCGAGCGTGTTGAGTACCAAAATATACCTCAAAGTAAACAAAAAATAAATATATATGTATGTATTCGTATACAATCGCAATCCATAGTTATATCAACGTTTTGTACAAGAAAATAAACATTTGATATCATATCTTGTATGACAATACATTTCAAGTCTAGTTGTAGTAAAAAACAGACAAAAGAACTTTGATATTTTACATAGATAGTAAATAATTTGTCAAGTACAGCAAAATGTGAATACTTTTTTTATTAGGTTGTTGATTTTTATTATAGTACACAATATTGCAATTTATATAATGGGAAAATTAATGAAATTCATCTTTGTTCAAATGATGGATGCATTTTACTCAATAAAACTGCTGTATGAACATAAAAATAACCACAAAATATATTTTAGATTTTCTCAATTCACGTTAGCTCCATGGTAGTGTCATATATCAAACTGTAGTTCACATTCAATTCTCACTTTCAGAAAACATATAAAAAATAATCGTGAAAATTTTATAAGAAAAACTGCATTTTTCTAGAATTTTTTGATCTTATAACTACGTTTACTTCGAATTAGTATAATTTTTTTCTGATTATTCACAAAATTTCATGAAAATATCAATTTCTACGAGAGGAATAAATCATGAAATTTCTATAAACATTTTCGCATGAAAAGACAATTCATATGTTCTTGTATTATAAAAATATCTTCCATTTTTTTTTCTTTATTTTTTTATAATTTCTTATTTTATAATTTTTTGACTCTTCATTATAGAATTCAAATATTTAAACTTTGACTAATGTTCGTTATTATTTCAATTCATCTTTTTTGCACCTACACACCTCTCTCTCATTTTGTAAATTTAATTATAGATTCTAAATAATAAATTTACATTCTTATGTGTATGCTACCTTTTCATTTATCATAAAAGAAAAATATATTTGCATTTTAAAATCATCTTATTATCCATCTATTATTTGCAATTAGATATTCTCTCTCTCTCTCTCTTATTATGTCTTAAAAAATAATTGTCAATATTTAATTTATGATACATACTTTTTCTACAGAAGCAGCAAATCCTTTTCTATCACAAGTAAATGGCATTTGATGTACAAGACCAACATTGTCTGTCATACACTCTACCATATCATGTAACGTATTTTCATTCACTAAATAAAATAATACGATAATAAGAAGAAAAACAAAAAAAAAAGGCAAATTTTAATTTGAACATACTTTTTAAACCACTATCAGATATAAGAAATAAAGGATATTTTGCTTTATCATAAGCGGAAAGCATATTGAATATTTTAGGATTTTTAACTATGACACTAATCGTAGATTTTTCACTTTGAGAACCTAAAGTAAACAAATAATCTAGTGATATAAAAATAATAAAAAACAAAACAAAACAAATATAAAAACGTTAGTAATATTAATCAGTCGTCTATTTAGAATGTATTTTATTATTTTATATAGATATATAAAGCTTGGTTATTTAAAAGTGATCTACACAATAAAAATGTACAATGTGCAGTTATCAAAATAAAGCCAACGAGTCTTCTAAATTGCAACCACTCTTTTTGGATAAAATGTGGTCTCATTTTAGATGTCTTAATTAACATCAAATAAACATTAGAGGGTGAGAAGCAAGATGAGAATGAATGCAAAAAATAGTAGTCTCAATAAAAAAAGAAGTAGCCAATAGCCATAATATAGACTTTGATGATTAAAAGACATTAGTATTATTAATATGTCATAATTATTAGGGTTTTTTTTCCACAAGTGCAAGCTATATACACTGTGCATAGTTGTAAAATAGTGCACATCGTACCGAAAATCCAAAAAGACTTTTTTGTTGTATGAACTACTGAAACAGTCTCATTGTCCAATGGATTATCGTTTCCTATAAACATGTGATTTGAGACTACTAAAAAAATTTTTTTGTGTATAAAATAAAGCGCTCAGAATACCGGCTGAAGTAAGGATAGATAAATTGCAATTTTTTTTTTTAATATTCATCATCATATTCTATCAAGATATAAAAAAACAAAAAACAAAAATATTACTGTTACTTACCAATAAATAATTGCGAGTCAATATGAGGATATTGTTGCTGTAATTTTTTAACTATATCTATGACATGTGGAGCCGGTTCTTGTACACAAAATAGAAGTTCGTATCTTGGATATTTAAATTGAAAAAATGTTTTTAAATTTTCTGCTAGATTACTATCAACACACGTCAATGGTTTGATGATAGATACACCAGGTAACTCTTTTAATAGTGATGATGGTTTACGATGAAATTTATACAAGCTAAAATGAGATAGAAATAATTTAACAATGGTTATGTACAATATAACAAAGGCGACAAAAATGTCATTTTTTGTATATTTGTTTGTACAATTTCTGTTCAAGAAGTTAGTTGACATTTTTATCGAATATTAACAGAGACAAATGTTTATGTAAGATTTTTATTCGATTGTTTTAAATTCTACAACTGTGAAACGGGTAGTCATCGAAAAAAATATATATCAGTTATGTTTACAATTTAAAAATAAAGAAGAAAGTTCATCATCTCTCGTTTAAAGGCATAAATTTTGATAAAATAAACTAAAGGATATATCTGAGTACAGGATTATTATTTTTCTTATCAAAAATTATAGAAAACTGTTATTTTATTTAATTTAAAAATATTTGTTTTTTTATAGTATCATCTACTATTTTTTTTCCAGATGACATATAAAAAATAGTATAAAATTTGATCCGATTTTTAATGTTAAAAAACAAAATATCAACATAATTCTTTGCATAATTTTCACCTTATTATTATTCTGAATCAATATATACCATTGTCTTGTTGAATTAATCTTAATATAAATAGGCTTTTGATGTTGTTTTTTCAAGGTTTCTAGAAATCTTGATTTATAATCTTTTTTTTTTTTTTTTAAAATAAATGACACATAAAAAAAGACTAGTCAAACTAAAATGTCATGCCCTTGTTAACGTCTTCTTTTTATGTTCTAGAGTAGAATAAACAAAAAAAAAAAACAAATTTTAAAAATGATAATAAAAGTCTCGAAAATCTGTACACTCTATATTAGACAGACACAGATACTTGTATTAATTACTCGAATATCAATGACTAAACGAAAATGTAAACGATGGAATTAAACTTATATACTCAGTAGCAATTAAATCTATTTAACTTCTAAAAATGATAAAAATATCAATAGAAAGGTGTTTCATTAAATATATGAATATTGGATTTATTTTTTCTTTAAAACACATCTCGGTCAGTGAATTAATATAAATCAATCAGTTTCAATTTGTACAGGTGTAATTATTTTTTCTGTTCTAAAGGTGTTTTTTTTATGCGTAATTGATAGTAATATAAAAGATCAAATATTATTTACTGTTAAAAAAACTAATTTTTTTTGTAAACAGTAGATATATGATGAATATAACTCTATAAAAAGTACGTTTAATCTTGTTTATAAGTAATCAATTAATGGCACATTCTAGTTCTAAACAGGAAAAGTAGATTTTACAGAAAAATAAAATAAGATACACCATATAAATCGGAGTAGCTACGGTGGAGACTATGGTCAAGAAAAAGATAAACTCATTATATATCGTTTTTTCTTCTTAAAAAATTTACTTTTGAAAAACTAATAATCTATAGTGATCGAATAAAATGTTAGATAAAAATTTAAATAAATTTCTAATGTAAAACATTTCTTATGAGAGAATTTCACGTATTGATCATAGGGGAAATATACATATTCTTTTCAACTTAATGAAAAAAAAATTTTCATTTCTATCCTATTATCTATTTGATTAGGTATATTATACAGACGAATGTTATATCATCAAAAAATGATCAAATTCTATATAAAAAAAAAAAATATCAGTTGAGATCGAAGACTTTTTCCGGTATTTTCAAGAGAAAAGTAAAAAGTAACGATTTTGCTTCGTACTAAGTTTTAAATTATATATCTGATTCTCTATTACATTTCTACTATCGGATATCTGATGAATATCGATATATATATCTCTATTATAGTAATAATATTTAATACTTTCTATAATGTATCTGATCTAGATAATTATTTGAATCTTTTACGTATTCAAAATATTGTTGGCACAACACAAAGGATTCGATATTAGTTTTTATTTTATCTATTCATTAGATCTCTTACCCATACGCAATACCACAAATATGAAATATCCATAGAGATACGATAATAATCAATGATAATAAGATAGATAATATAAGAAAACACGTGTAAAGAAGTTGTAAAATCATAGCCCATTGTCCAAAATAAAAAAGAAACGAGGAATAGACGCAATATGTCCCGAAAGTTATAATTTAATCAACATTAAATATAATATTAATATAGAATAGATCAATTACTTATATACCTATATATATATATAGGATGATAGTCCTGATGTTGTCTTGTATTCACTCTCTCTGTCAACACCTACATGCGTATATATATATATATATATATATGTATAGGAAAATATATAAACTGGTTAAATGAATCAAATATAAATGACGATGATGATGATGATAATGATGGAAAGGAATAAAATAACCAATAATAATAATAGAGAGCAAAAAAAATTTCTTTCTTATTTTGTCTGTTAATTTTCCTCTTTATTATTCACCCACAAAAGAGGACAACTACTTGTTCTGTTTTTTTTTTTTTATGTAGTATTCTGTATTGTAATAAAAAACAACACTAACATATTTACTTAAATATATATATCAAAGTAGATAAATTAAAAAGTAACAGAAGAAACTTGTCTTTTTCTTAATTGAGAAGAGACGAGAGTGAAATAGGTTAGATAATTTTAATAATTGCAGTAATAAATATATATGATCGTGACATCTTTCTGTTCTGTACATCAATCGATACACCTTTTTTTTTATCGTTCTACATTCTATCAATACACTCAAAGTTTCTCTCTCTCTCTCTGCTTCTCTCTCTCTATACATACTGCTTCCTCGTTTTTGATCTATATGACTTACTTTTTGTTTTTCTCTTCTGTTCTAATTTGAAAAATGAATAGTAAATAACAGAACATATTGAACATTATAGATACATTTCTTTTTCTTTTTCTACTCTGTTACACTCGTGCGTTCAAAGTTCAAGTTTATCTAGCTATTATAAGCATTGTACAGATCGAATGAATGAACAATCCTTATATATTTTAAATGCAATCCATCATCTTGTACTGCAATAGGCGTAACTGGAAGAGGTGAAGATGGATAAAAGTGCTACTTGTTTTCGGATAAATACAAGTACCACACCACAACATAAACTCTTATCATTCAGATAATAATTTTATCTTAAAATTTTCATGCAGATAATTATGTAAGATTGCTGATATCATTTGAAATCATCAGAATTATACACATTGTGTAGACACACTCAAATGTGTTATAAAGACACTTCTTTCTCATCGGTTAATAATCACGTTTTTGTTAGCTAATTCAAAGAAAAATCGTTTATCTCGAAATACTTGACCCCAGATCAAGATATAACCTTGTGACCGTAGTAGTTATTAGAATCCGTAAGTCTGAAAAATATGATATTGAGTAAGCAGTAGAAATGACCTTTTTCATAGGGATCTAGTGAATTTATGGAGATAATTGCATCTCGTGAACCATTTGCTACAAAATTGTTATCCATGATGTACAATTGTAATCGAGTCTTTCTGTACAAAACTAACCATATAAAAATTTCACGAACAGTTTTAGATTTTATATTATAAACATTTTTTAAGAACAAGCGGAATTATAATTAAAATGGGTTGATTTTATTCTTTTATTTGCGTTATCAATATGGATATCAATAGGAATACGAACTTCTAATGTAAAAATCGATCGAACATTCCTATACATTCAGAGAATATTTAGAACTAATTTTAGAATAGAGACATGCACAGATTAAGAAAATGTAACCCAAACCCAATCGACGACACCTTAACAAGCTCAGACTGGATTCGGGTCGAGTTGCAGGTGTTTAGTGCAAAGCAAACAATCATTAATCGGCTTTGTGGATGCAATTGTTTTGAAATAAGTTTTTCAACTGAAAATTCCAGCAGAAATCATTTTTTAAGTCAAAGAGTAATAAAAAATGGAAATAATTATCTATATTTTGAATTGCGCCGTAAAAGGTTCAGTCCGAACCTGACCCGACCCTAGGATCGGTTCGAGTTCGGATCGGGTTGTAGGTCTCTACTTTAGAACTAGAATTGGTTTTAGTAAACTTTGGAAAAAAATTAATTGGTTCAATGTAAAATAATTTTTCGAAAAAAAAACGTAGTACGCTTTTGCCTATTAATTAGCGTCTTATGTTGCTGATTGATAATATAGTCATTTCTTAATGAAGTGTACAAATTATATTAGCAATTTATTGTGTATCCTCAACACGGTGTTAAATCACTTATTACTTTGTATATTATTGGAATATTAGCCCGTTGGAAACAATGACCTATAAATTAATACTTTTTAAAGGACTTAGCTGTTTTCGAAAACATGTTGTTTGTCACTTACACCTTCAATTTTTGTTTTACTACCATTTTTGAATCCTTTTATTTTGATTATTATTACGTTCTACTTGCTCCTATTTAACGAAGAAAAATAACAAAGTATGCGTCGGTTAAAGGCTTATTATTTATTGTCAATGACGACAGCTATTACTATTTTCGCGTTTCTTTCTTCTCACTTTCTGTTTCTTTCATTTCCCAGTTTTATTAAATTGTAAAATTTGCGTAGTAACAACTGAAGGACGTCTGTAACTAAACCACACAGTAAAAACATCAGTAAAATCTAGCATGGCATGATATCGAACTCATTATTTGAAACTTAATTCTTCTTAAAAATAAACAAACATACTAAAAAAGCAACAATAGAAACTATATTCCTATGAGAATCAATAATTTTAGATGTGTTCAAACGCGTGTATTGATAATGGCCAAAGCCACAGTAGAGAGAAAACATATACAAAGAAACACTTTCAGATCTTTAACAGAGTATTACAAGGGGAGATAGTCAATCTATAGTGTTCAAATAATTTTCGTGTGAAATTTTTCAGATGAGTAGCGGCAGTATATCTAAGATGTCCTTATTAATTTCTACGGGCATATTTACGCGGAGTTGTATAAATTGTAGAGTTTAGAAAACTGAAAATTGTAACACAAGTGGTTAAAGTGAAGTACTATCTATCGTCAAGAAAATATATGGGAAAACAATACCCCGTTTCAGCCAAACAAAGACGTTTGTAACGAAATGACTGACTACAAGTGCAAAGTTGAGAATACGAGCATACGATAGATAATACGGATCATAATTTATTGAATAAGAAG